ATCTCATTATAGATGGCTCTGAGCCACCATGTGGTTGCTGGGACTTGAACTCAGGAACTCTGGAAGAGCAGTCAGTGCTCTTAGCCACTGAGCCATCTCTCCAGCCCCACACATAATCAAATTTTAAGAATTTAATTTTGAGAACTCTGAACTTAGTTTTATTAGTTTTGCTGTTCCTAAAGAGTTAATGTATTCAGAGGCAGGACTCCATAAATCTTCAGAAGAAACTCCAAGAGTATCAGTTATCTCAGTGGTATATATTTAAATTGTATAAGGGTTGGTTTGAAAATTTGGTGGTTGGTTTAGAATTGTGGGCTCATAATAATAATTTACAAAGACCCTTTCAGAGCTGGCAGGAGCCAGGTAAACAAGTACATTTTCCACGAGCTCATTACAGAGGATTCTCTAGACACTGACTTAGACCCAGGTCAGTTATCTCTCAGCTGATCTCTGGATGCGGGACCAAGGTTGCTTGTTACCCATGGCTTCTGCCTCCCTGGCTCAGGATGTTGCTGTTCCTGATCCCTTTGACTCTGAGATTTGGATTCTGAGAAAGTCACTTGGCTGCTTTGCAAGACGCTGCTCACTTGGTTGGCAGCAGCAAGCTCTAGTTTCCTTATCGCTTTTCTGAGCTCCTTGGAAGACCTGCTCCTGTGCTTAAGTGACTTAGTGGTGTGCGCGCTGTGATTTTCTTCCGATAATGCCTTCAGAGTTCAACATAGAATAAGTTGTGATGTATTTCTACATCACAGATCCATTTCTGAAAGATACTTAGTTGTATAACTGTTTACTATTCTGACATCGCACAAAAGCATTAATCGAATTACAATTAGTGCTCCAATGATCTTTGCTTTAAATATGTTTTGGATCCATCCTTTCTGTCTGGTGGTTTCCACGGTATATAAACATATAAACCCTTAATTGGAAGGAACCTGTGCATTTGACTTCATTTCTTTGGACACTTGTTTCTGTTGTCTTTACTTCCATTTGTGTGTGGATCCTGAATATTTGGATAGTTGCTGCATTTCTGGGGGTTGTGGAAGAGGGGTTGCTGTGTTGAACTTGGGAGGGAACCTATTCTGATAATCCTGGGGAGTGCTCCACTACCACCAAGAGTGTAGACTAGGAGTGACTTCATCATCATGCCAGGCACAGCTGAGACTGGGTAGGAGGGACCAACGGGAGAAGGGGGCAGCTTTGATAAGTGAGTGAGGTGGTGGTTGATGAAGGGCTAGGTGTAGATCAGGATGGCTGGCTTGCTGAGTTTAGGTTTGGGCAGAGAAGAGAGAAGTGGATTTGTTGTATTTGAGTTCCTATTTAATATTTAGATTCTACACTAGGGAGTTCACAACTGTCTTTAACTCCAGTTCCGGGGGATCAAATGTCTAATTCTGGCCTCTGGGCACCCTTACTCTTCTGGTGCACTTAGACTCACACAGGTTCACAGGCATACATGTAGGTTTAAAAACAACAACAAGCCGGGTGGTGGCAGGCAGATCTCTGTGAGTTCGAGGCCAGCCTGGGATACAAGAACTAGTTCCGGGACAGTCTCCAAAAGCTACAGAAGAAACCCTGTCTCGAAAAACAAAAACAAACAAACAAAAAATACAACAAACAACACTTTAATGGGGGCTGGAGAGCTAGATGGCTCAGGGTACTTACTTTTGTAGAGGATGCAGGCTTGCTTTCCAGTACCAACAATGCTTATAACCATCTGTTGGTAGTTCTGTTTCTTGGGGATCTGATGTCCTGTTCTGGCTTCCTTAGGCACTTGTGTGGTGCATGAACATACATGCAGGTAAAACACTCATATACATAATTTTAAAGTGTTTGGCTACATTCCCTACTAAACAGCAAAGTACCCACACTCCCTAACTCCTCTCACTTCTGTTGACTTTTATATTTTTTGTCTCTGCCTAACTAAACGGCCCTAAGACTCTCTTCTATCTTAGCACAGTTTAAGTCATAGTCACTAGATTTGTACCTCTTAAATACAAGAGGAACTGAAACTTCAAGCTGTTGACTCTTCTTTAAACCTGATTGTTTTCTGATTGCCTTGTGAATGAATTGGTTGGTTCTTACTGCTTTCCAAGTGTTGTTCACAGAATGCCCTGCTGAATGAAGGCTTAGGCGAAACAGCAGACTCTCCCCTGCCTCAGGAGCTCACAGGAGTTAAAGCTCTTGCACACATCCGCAGAGGAGGGGCCACCCTTACTGTAGGCAGCTTCTAAGAGCACTGTGTTTTACTTTTGATTTTACTGATGTTTGCCAATGGAGGACGTTCCTCACTGTCAGGAAAATTTAAAAAAAAAAAAATCAAGGATATACCATACCAAAGATTTTCTTTCTTTAAAACTGGTATTGGGGACAGAACTCAGGGCCTCACATATACTAGGCAAATGCTTTACCACTGAGCTATGTCCCCAGCACTCTTTTTGTTTTTATTTTGAGACGTGGTCTCCGTAAGTTGTCTGGACTAGCCAGGAAGTCACTCTGTTGCCCTGCACTTTTGTTCTTCCTGTCCCAGACTTCTGAGCAGCTGGGATTACAGGCGTGTCCTACAGAGCCCATCTCACAGAATTCTCAGTCATGTTTACAAACCCTGATGTTGTCATTGGAGCTTTTCTACCATTGTGCAAATAACTTAAATAGTGATCCCGTTGTTCCTGACCGTGAGAAAGAGGTCAAGGTAGTTGGATGGTTTGACCGACTGAGATGAAGCAAAAAGGAGAAAGGCAATGAAAGTCCTGAGAACAGTAAACCAAGGGCTTGGAGCCAGCCTTCCTCTTCTGACAGCGCCAGCGCAAGGGTTGCGATCCAATGTCTGACCTGGATGCGTTCACCCACTGGTCCTGTGAGAAGCAGGGGTTGGGATCGTATGTCTGACCTGGATGCATTCACCCACTGGTCCTGTGAGAAGCAGGGGTTGGGATCATATGTCTGACCTGGATGTGTTCACCCACTGGTCCTGTGAGAAGGAGGGGTTGAGATCATATGTCTGGCCTAGATGTTTTTTACCCCGTGGTCTGTTAGAAGTCCTGATTTTTTTTCTTGGGTTTATTTCATTTTGCAATGCGCAATCACGTCAAGCTGACTTTTCCATCTTTTCTTAACCATTCAATTATTCAGTGATTAAGATTTTTCCCCATCAGTATCACAGGGAATATTGCTGAGCCGTTAGTTTGTTCATCCAGTTGGACCTTCCTACTTCATGGGGAGGGGTACAGTACACTCTTGTCTTCCTGTCTCCCCACCTTTCCAGGCGAGAAAGCTATTGAGCTAAGGAGCGGATATTTTTAAAGATGAGAATGAAAAAGTGAATTCTAGGTTTTGAACAGGTGTTGTCTAAGTAGGTCGAGTAATTCCTCTCCTGGGGAATTGGTGATGAGAGATGAAGAGAAATGAGGGTAAACTGAGGCGGAACGAGGCACCAGATGAAGCTGATTCTGTGGACTGTGGGGATTTCTGGAGATGGGAGCCTCCTGGATGAGCCCCTCAGCATCACATCGCACTTTGTGTGGGTAGCAAGGGGCAGGCAGCGCCCCAAGCAGGGCTCTGTCCTCATGACTCAGATGTATGACTCACGTCTGGTCTCCCAGTACTGCCATGTGACCTTGCTAGCCCTCGATGGAATGGAGCAAAACTGAATCACAATTTCTAGAAAGCTCTTAAGTATATGGCAGGAAGTTATGCCTTCTAGCTAATAGCTGAAATCTTGATGGGGCATTTTCCTCCATCTACCTCCCAGGAAGTTTCCCTCAGTCCTTAGGCCAGGCATATTTTTTGTGTCTTCTATCTTTTTGTTCAACCTTGCCCATGTTTAACTCCGTCTCCTTGCAGTTTCTTCATAACTTATAAAGCAGATCAGCATTTCTGCTTTTCAAACTGTTTCACAAAGCTGATTTTTACAGACCATTGTTTGTGAGATGTGGTTCTCCCAAAGCAATCCACCTCATCGTCTTGCAGGACCCTTTGCCACAGGGATCCATCTGCCACACCTCCCGTCCTCTTCCTCTGGGCTGTTCCCTCCTCTCCTTTCTTCTGTGTGCTGAATAGTTTTATGTTAACTCACCGTCTCTGCTGTTAGTCTCAGAGAGTCTTGGCTGTCAGTCACAGTGCTGAGCAGAGCTGACTTGTTCCTTGCGCCACTGCCTACAGTGTTCCTTGCTGACTGCAGCGTCAACGCTGTGCTTTTCGCGTAGCTTTTGAAGACCTTTCCCGTGCTGACTTTCCTAGCCAACCCGATGCTTTTTCCAGTCTGCTGTAGCACTTAACCCTTTCCCCAAAGGGACAGATCATTTTCTTGTGCGCTTTAAATCATGCTGACAGTTAGCCCCTGCGACTGTCTATTTTTATGACATTGGTGACTTTACAGGCAGCCTTTAAGTCTCCCTTGGGCTGTCCCTGACCTCAGTTTCTTCTCTTCCCCCTTCTGTGGCTTTCCCCAGCACATGTGTGACCCTGACCAGCCTCTCGCCTGCTTGCTTTGCTGCTCTTGGCCACTGATGTGCCTGCCGCTTTCCTGCTTTAGGCATCATGGGGGATTAGTAGGGGCATTTCATGCAGCAGTGGGAAACAGGGGGGCGTGGAAAGAGGAGTGCCCGTCATGGCGCCCGTCTGGCACACACGTTCCCAAGTGTTCTCAGAAACCTCTGAGCTGTCTGAAGACTCCCAGGAGCTACCTTTCCAACCGAGTGTTTAGACTGGGGCGTCGCATTTTAAAGCAGGCTCAGATTGAAGTGGGAGAGCCTTAGCAGGGAGGAAGCCTGCAGGCCTGACTGTGAGAGAGATGAGGGATACTACTGTCAGTGGCTGGGTGTCTCCTCCCCTTGGCTGGCCCTGTCACTTCTCCCCTAGTGCTCTCTCCCCCTTTCAGGTGGCTCACAAATCCCACCGGATGGTAAATTTACTTAGAGGTCAAACACAGCACTGGGCAAAGGGTTACTAGCTTTCTGACGTTGGTCACAGCCTGAATAATACTGTCCTTCTGTCTGTCCCAGGTTCTCAGAGGCACAGTGACAGACTTCCCTGGATTTGATAGCAGGGCTGACGCAGAAACTCTTCGGAAGGCCATGAAAGGCTTGGGTAAGTTGCACCTGTTCATTCTAAAAGACCAAGAAAACAGGGTGGGAGGCATGTACAAATTCCACTCAAATAATGAAACGGTGTCTTTACCATCCTGAAGAGTCATTCTCTAGAATTTGATATGCAAGTGACATCAGCTCTGTGTTCTGGGATCACCAGTCCAGCTTACACATAGTATGAGGGAAACTGGTAGCTCAGGGACCTTGTTCCATCACATGTCCATGTCCCCTGCTTTCGGCACCCCCTGCCCACTGCCCCAGTATCTTTCTAACCAGTTGCTGACCTCTTGAGGGCTTTTGTGTGTAACTGGCTGATCTGCTCTCAGACTTCGACACCGGATTCTCATTACCCTCACCTTGAAAGATGCCCATGGCATCCCCGGGGCCCCGTTTCAAACTCATCTCCCACTACCGTCTGATATCTCTGGTCCAGCCTGGCTGTCGCTATGCATGCAAGTCCCACACTTTTCTACTCTGTGAGCTCTCACCTTATTCTAAGCCTGTCCTTTTATGGCTGCCTTTCAGAAGTCTTCATCTGTCAAGACTCTGTTGGGTACCTCCTTCCCCCAAACTCCTCTCTACTCTTGTTAGCCAGGAGACCCGGCTTTGCGTCTCATGTAGCACTTGAACCCCCCTAGGGTGTTTGCCATTCTGCTTTAGCTCACAGCTATCTGTAGCTTTTTAAGTTTTCCACCCCAAATTATCTATAATTTGAAGCCAGGCATTATGTATGGTTTTTTTCTTCTCTCATCTCCCGATACCCAACACATTATGCTTTGTGAGTAGCTACTACTTGGGTAGCTGTGTAACTATGCATGAAAGGTAGGCACACCGAGATTTTAAAAGCCAGGAGTGGGGCTGGAGAGATGGCTCAGTGGTTAAGAACACTGCTTGCTCTTCCAAAGGTCCTGAGTTCAATTCCCGGCAACCACATGGTGGCTCACAACCATCTGTAATGAGGTCTAGTGCCCTCTTCTGGCCTGCAGACATACACACAGACAGAATATTGTATACATAATAAATAAATAAGTAAATATTTTAAAAAAATAAATTAAAGCCAGGAGTGTTTGTCCAACTGAGGATAGAAGTTTGTGTGTGTGTTTGTGAAACATGATAGTTAAGTCCTCTTAATTTTATATTTTCTTCTGTGTAAGCTGTGTCTTATATTTTTTATAGAGCGTATTAAGAGCACGGAGTGACTGCTGTGCTAATTGGAGGTTGCTTAGAAAATGGGTGTGTGGGAGGCAAGCTGTCTTTGTTACCCATCAATTCCAGGCACTGATGAGGAGAGCATCCTGACCCTGCTGACCTCTCGAAGCAATGCTCAGCGCCAGGAAATCGCTGAGGAGTTTAAGACTCTGTTTGGCAAGGTGAGACCGCGACCCAGCCAAGGCGGGAGGGGGAGTCCGGCTGTGGCTTTTAAAAGAGTTTGAGAAGTAAAACAATCACCCCAGATCTGTCAGGAAGTTTTTCAGGGCCCCTCCTCTCCACCTCCAGAATAGGAGAATCCTTAGATGCCCATGCCCTCAGGAATGGCACGGGGCTCTCCTGTAACTCGCTTGCCTCCTTCTGATGAGGTTAAGCTGTCCCTGCATGATTAGAAGATCAGTAGATGGCTAATAGAATACACGCCTTGTGCCAACAGATTGTCATACGGTGTCTTTTAGGAGATAATAAACAGCCTCTCACAGTTGTCTTTCCTTGCTTCATGCTTTTGGGGTGTAAAGGTAACAGTGGCCCATGTTGTTAACTGCCCTCATCCTTCCTCTCTGTTTCCATTATCTATTTATTTTAGGTATATGCCTGTATTGCAATAATAGCTATGAGCCTGTATTGCAATAATAGGTATATGCTTGCATTGCAATAATAGGTATATAACTGTATTACAATAATAGCTATAAGCCTGTACTGCAATAATAGGTATATGCCTGTATTGAAATAATAGGCATGTGCCTATATTGCAATAATTTTAATACATTTTAATTTATGAGTTCAATTCCCAGTTCTATTTGATTAACAATTCAAAGCAAAACTTGAAATTTTCCTGAATGAGAGCATGTGTGAAATACCATAATGTAATTTTGCTATTCTGACAACTTACACTTGGCATTTCCCTGTGCGGGACCAGGAAGTGTTTTTTTGTGTTTCTGGATGGACCCCAGGACCAGTGCTCTCCATGGAGCTGCAGTGTAGCCCGTAGGTAGAAGGTGTCTAACCCCAGTCCTGCTGCCTGGTGTGCTGGAGACACACTGTTCCTTTTCACTAATGACTGCACACATTCCCACACTACAGGTACCCCAGCATACGCCTCTCAGCAGAACAATGTTCATTGACTATATATTGGAATGTTAATAATATGTATTAGAATTTTAGAGTAAAAGAAAAGATATTGCTTGGATCTTATAAGCTAAATCTTGCCCCTAAGAATATGTTTGTGGGGCTGGAGAGATGGCTCAGAGGTTACAAGCATTACCTGCTCTTCCAAAGGTCCTGAGTTCAATTCCCAGCAACCACATGGTGGCTCACAGCCATCTGTAATGAGGTCTGGTGCCCTCTTCTGACCGTCATGCATACACACAGACAGAATATTGTATACATAATAAATAAAATATTTTTAAAAAAGAATATGTTTGTGAGTTTTGAGAAAATTCCTTTTGCTTTTTTGTCTTTTTCTTTCTGGTGCTGGAGGTCCAACCCAAAACCCTGTACATGTGACACAGTGCTCAGTCACTGGGATGCATTCTCACCCTTCGGTGATATTAGATATCAGAAATATCTAATGATATTTCTGAAAGGACACTGGAAAACCATGTGTGCTGAGAATGCATGCTTTACATGGCCAAGTGCTCGGCCACAGAGCAACGTTGCTTCTTAAACTTTTGGTTTTTGTGCGCGGGCTGGGACAGGGGACTTGGGATTTTGAGGCAGAATCTTGCTCTCTAAAGCCAGGCATAGTGTTGTAGGGCTGTAATTCTAGATAGTTCAGAAGTTGAGATGGGACTACAAGTTCAAATTCTAGCTGGAGCCAGGAATAGTATCCCAACACTTGGGAGGCAGAGGTAGGTGAATCTCTGTGAGTTCTAGGACAGCCAGAGCTACATAACAGCGAGAGACCCTGTCTCAAAAAAAGGAGCGCGCGGGGGGGGGGGGGGGGGGAAGAAGTAAAAAAATGATGGTGATGATGATCATGATGATAACAACAGTCCTGCCTGGGGTACAGAGTGTATTTAAGAACAGCCTGGACAGCTGCCTCAAAATTTATAAAGGGCTGGGAATGTAGACTGATTGTAGGGTGTTTTCCTGGCATGAGGAGAGCCTGGGTTTCATCCTAGCACCAAAATTAAAGAGTCACATATTTCCAGGCTGACTTCCTGCCACAGTCTCCCATATACTGGAGTTACAAGCATATGCTACCACACATATTAGCGCTCTGTAAAGGTATTCCATTTTATTTTAACACTTGAAGTTAAGGAAAACATCTTTAAACTCCTTGGTAGGTAAATACTGCTGTTGGAGGTGTGGGTCAGGTGTCGAAGGTCCATTCCTTAGGATGTTGTTTAGCACAAATAGCGTCTGAAATACTTGAAGAAGCAACGTAGAGAACTGGCTGGAGCAAAGCTGTCCTTCCTGTGTGGGACGATCATGGTCACTGAGTTTGTGTTGTCTGAACCAGGACCTTCTGGATGACCTGAAGTCAGAACTGACTGGGAAGTTTGAGAAGCTAATTGTGGCTCTGATGAAGCCTTCGCGGCTCTACGATGCCTACGAACTGAAACACGCTCTGAAGGTAAAGGGTGCATGCATGGGGCCTTCTTTCTGTCTGCAGTTGGCCTGTGTTTTATTTGAATAGTTTCAGCAAAGGATGCTCAGGAGACAAAACTGTAGGGGTCAATAAGAAGTAAAGGCGCGGGTCATTTCATCTTCTTGTATAGTTAAACTGAAAAATACTGTCTAAAATTTTAGCCTGCTGGAGTTCTATACTTCCATTTTATCTTTAGGCTTTGGAAAGGTTACAGATGAGATATTTTAACTTTTAAAATAGAAAGGCGGAAGTTGACTGTGTTGAAACACTTGCTCAGATACTGACAGGAGCGACTTGTCCTGAGTGGGTTCTCAATCGGTAGACAAAGTAAGCAGCTCAGGGATCCCACCCGCACAGCGGAAGGACAGGAATCACCCAGACAGGAGGCTGACTTTGCTGAGTGTCTGTGCCTTTCTGCAATTATAGTTTTGGAGTAAATGCGACATTAGGACCTTGAGAAAAGGCCTTTTAACAGAATACATCTCAAACACTGTGAACAACTCAGATTTTCCCATAAGATGAACTTAGGTTTTTCAAAGTAGCAGAAATAGAAACTATGTTATCTTAAACAGAAAACCTAAATTTAGCCACATTACTGCTTATATGTTCTGACGTAGCAGGGTAGGTATGACATCTATAAGCACAGAAAGGGAAACCAGTTAAAACTGTTTTTCAGAAGCTGAAAGTGAGTTCCTGCAAGAGACCCCATTGTCGGCCGTCTTTCTGTTCTGCTACCCGAGATGATCTGTCTAGGCAATAAGGGTTGATTTTGACTCATGCCCACAAATAACTGGCCCCAAGGTTTTGGGCCTGTACTCAGGCAGGAGGCCAGTGAAGAGAAGAGACAGCCCTTGTCCCATCATCTCCTTTAAAGACATCTCCTAGGGACCTAAAAGCTTTTAAAGGGTTTGGTTAGCAGCCCCTAGTGCTTGCTATCTGGTGACCAAACTTTAACATTTGGGCTTTTAGGAGGACAGCATTAAAGATCTTAACTCTAGCGGTATAGATCTTTAATGGACATAGAAAAGTAAACTTTAGGGAGCTGGAGAAATGGCTCAGTGGTTAAGAGCACTGCCTGTTCTTCCAAAGGTCCTGAGTTCAATTCCCAGCAACCACATGGTGGCTCACAACCATCCGTAAGGAGATCTGTGCCCTCTTCTGGCCTGCAGGCACACATACAGACAGAATACTGACAATACTGTATACATAATAAATAAATAAATCTTTAAAAAAAAAGAAAACTTTAATTTTTTTGTGCAAAATGAAAAGTAAAATATAATTAGATAGAATCAGATTGCCACTGGAAAGAAAATTAGTGTAGAATTTAACTCTGTAGTAATAGACCATGTATACAAAGAAATTCATTTCATGCTTTTTGGATATTTCTGTAATTATGTAATTTGGGTAACATCCAGGGAAATAGCTTTCCTTTTTTATCTCATTGACATGTTTTTGCCATTAAAAACAAATCTTCCAACAGGGAGCTGGGACCAATGAAAAAGTATTGACAGAGATTATTGCTTCAAGGACACCTGACGAGCTACGGGCCATCAAACAGGTTTATGAGGAAGGTAAGCAGCTGGAGGTCACCACCTTCCCGTCCTCATGTTGCTGTGACCCCTTGTAGTTCTCATTGTCCACTGAATGAACTGTGAGTCAGTCAGGCTGTTCTTCTTCAATAAAAACAGACGGCAGGAACAAACTTGACCTGTAAGGGAGATGCAGTTTGTTTTTGCCTGAGACTTGCAGACACTATAGCAATAGACTGGCCTTCTATGTTAAGTTTCTTCAAACAAACTCAACTTTATGCTAGATGTTAAGAGCTATGTAGAAGACATTTTGGGGAGCGGGAAGAAAGACTGAAACCCTTTTCCATACTGGAGTTGTTAAGACATTGATAAAAGTATGCTGTTCATCTGCTGGGAGTGCTTGACTAAAGTATCCTGTATTTTTGGATGTTATTTTTCGTGTGACCTATTTTTTTCATCAGTGAAAACAAAGTCTGTATTTTAGTCTAGTTCATATGTCAATTCTTTGAATGTATTCAAGTCCATGAAATAAAAATGAAGAGAGTCTGTTCTTGTCCAGTTTGTATGTCGTTGGACTCAACCTGGAATGTTGGCCAGTGGTCATGGCTCGCTGTGGGCAAAGTTTATAGAATTTAGATGTGATGTTGTTAACCCACCAGGTAAGAACCGTGAAATCTACAGCTACTAAACCATTACCTGAGCCTCTCTTTCCAGCATCTCTTTGTAGCCAAGATGGTCGCTCCCACTATGGCTGAGGTGACACACATATCTCAAAGTGGCAGTTTATCTGCTGTCATCTTCAGAGCTCTCTGACTAGGGGTGCTGATGCTGAGGACTGAGCATCTCTGATGCCGTAATTGTGCTGGCTGCATCCTGCTCAGTGTGTTTCTGGGCATAGCTGTGTGTCCACTGCTGCCCCGAGGACATAAAAGGCATTCACAGCACAGTTCTTGTCCTTGGTGAGGTTAGAGTCAGTAGCTAAAGGATGATGAAATTTAGAAAGTCACACATGAAATATTAATTCAGGATGCAGACAGGAGGGCGAGGGCATTGCAGCTTTTGGGCCTTCATAATACAAATGAGATATTTGGATTTCATGGATTTCAAGAGTAGGTGACGTACTGACTGTTCATTGAAAAATGCGTGGACGGAACGAGTTGAACGTACACACGGTTCTGCGTTATCTAGCCTTAAATGTGGAACTTCCGACATTGGCGTAGCACAGGTCAACATGGAAGGCATTATGTAACTTAAGTGAAGTGAGCGGGGTGCACAAAGACAAACACTTCGTGATGACTTCACTTGGGTAGGCTCCAGCCAAGTGATAAAACAGGCAACGCTGTAGAGTAGAAAGTAGCACGGTATTTGCCAAGGCTGGACAGTAGAGATGGTGGGAGATGGTGCTCACCGGACAATGAGGTGGGGGGACAAGTTCTGGGGATGCGGTTGGAGTGTGGAGACTATTCATAACACTGTATCGTACAAATGAAATTTGCTAAGGAACTAGAACATGAGTGTTTCACCATTCACAGAAAACCACATGGGGGTACCAGTAACCATTTCACAGTGTGTCAAGCACGATGTATCCCTTAAATACACACATTTATTTATTATTTATTCCTTGTCAGTCAGCAAACTGGGGAGGAAAGGCTAAGATGGGTCTCCAGTACCAAAGGTAACTTTGATCATCAGTTAACATGGACCCTGTACTGAGGAGCACAGACTGGGGGATCTAATGGAGCCTGACTGCAGGGAGGAGGGTGCATGTGTGTTAGGGGTGGGTAGAGAGTGTAGAGAATCTGCATGCCTGGAAGGTGAACACGGCTGTGAGTCAGCGGTATAAGGGCTGATGGAATCTTGAAGGAACAGTTGAAGGAGGGAAGGGGGTTTGAGGCTAGATGTGATTGGATATATATAGAGAGATTGGATCGATAGCTCTGTAGGGAGGCAGTGAGGAAGTTGTGTAGTAATTATGGCGCCACCGAGGTTGCAGGGAGGTGGCGGCCCAGAGTACAAATCAGAGCAGCAAATGTAGGGGAGGATTTGGTAACTAGTTACGGGTACTGGAGTAGAGGAAGGAATCAGATGCTTACAGGCTTTGTATCTGGGTAGCTGGTTCTCACACATAGAATAGAAGGGTCGGGCTTTTAAAATAGTCTGTTTTCAAGTGCTGATTAAGTATTTTGATGCCTTATAGCAAGACCATTTTAAAACAGCAGCTTGAGAGTTAGCTAAAGGCTCAACGACTCAGAAGGGCTCAGTTCTTACTTCCTGTGACCTCAAGTTGAGGATTTGGAACCTGAGGTGGGAGGGGGGGTCATACTTTAAAATGTCATTGCTGTCTGTCAGAAGTAACTTAATTGTTGCAAAGGGAAAATATCTTATTAGTGGGAGATACGACCATGCAAAGACAAGAATTCTGAGGATGGAAAACATCTAGCAAAAAAAAAAAAATCACATAAAACATTCGAAGAAGGGCTGGAGAGATGGCTCAGAGGTTAAGAGCATTGCCTGTTCTTCCAGAGGTCCTGTGTTCATTTCCCAGTGACCACATGGTGGTTCACAACCATCTGTAATGGGGTTTGGTGCCCTCTTCTGGCCTGCAGGCATGCACACAGACAGAATATTGTATACACAATAAATAAATATAAAAAAAAAATCGAAGAAGCAGAACTTCAGCTCACAGTTACTATGGTTTTAAGCTTCGCACTGTCCTTCTGTCTGTTCACTTACTAACATTTGGGGAGACAGTTTCTATGTGGCTGTCATAATTTAGGCTTGAGCGAATGCTTTTGGGGGATGTCAGTAGAGCCCATTTTCATCCAGCCGCTCACTTATTGAATTTGCCATCCGTGTTTAGAGCACTCATTGATGGCATAGAGCAAGTTTTTGTTAATCAAATATACATGTCTTCCTGTATGTCTTGTTCATTTGGTAAATGGTCCAGGGTTTTTCTAGCTAAGAGATGCTATGACCAAGTGTGAAATCATTGTTTTGCAGAATACGGTTCCAGCCTGGAAGATGACGTGGTTGGGGACACCTCAGGGTACTACCAGAGGATGTTGGTGGTCCTCCTTCAGGTACTGGTAGAGACTTAACAGAGTTGACTAAGGGGCGGGTTGGAATGACATCCCGTATTAAGTTAAGGCCACTTAAAAATCTTTCAACAATTCCTGAATTGTGCAGATTCCCACTTTGATGCTCACCTGCTGCCTGTGCCTGTTTGCGCTATAGAATATCTGATTCAGACTGGAAAGAGCCAACTCATTCATTCGTTTCGGGCAGCTGTATGCAGCCTGTTCACTCATAGACTTTAGAATCAGCAAGGTTGTGCTGGTTTGGACCCTGCTGTGTGGCAGTGCAGCATCCACTGTATGGGTGATATGATCTCAGCACTGTAGGGGTGATATGATCTCAGCACTGTAGGGGTGATATGATCTCAGCACTGTAGGGGTGATATGATCTCAGCACTGTAGGGGTGATATGATCTTAGCACTGTAGGGTTGATATGATCTCAGCACGGTAGTGTTGATATGATCCTAGCACTGTAGGGTGATATGATCTCAGCATTGTCGGGGTGATATGATCTCAGCACTGTAGAGTTGATATGATCTTAGCCCAAGCATAGTTTTCCAGGGAGAGAGCCTCCCTTGGCACAGGCATCAGGTGTATCTTTCCATCAGAATGAAGATGCTCTGTAGTCCAGTGTGTGATGTCCTTTCTTACAGGCAAATAGAGACCCCGATACTGCGATTGATGATGCTCAAGTTGAACTGGATGCTCAGGTAAGTAAGGTGTATTATATGACAACTTTGTTATGACTTAGAAATAAAAGAATTTATAATAATGAAAAACCACAACGTGTATTTTAAGAACCTTAACAAATATATTTAGCAGCTACCTAAAAAACATATGACTCAAAAAGGTACATTTTTCTTACTCTGATCTGGCCAACAAAATAATTGTATCTAAAGCTGAAATAAAATTATATTGCAAATTACAGCTAGACATGTTCTTTATCATCGTTCACAAAATAGATAATTTTATTTAAAAAAATCCCTGTGTTACTGTTCCATTGCCATGATGGAAGAGGTTTTTTAAGTAGGATAAAATAAGGAAGAACAAATAAGGTGTTTATGGTACAACTGGCATTTTATTACAAAAGAATTGACGTGTTAGTTTATTTCAGCATTAAGAAATTCTGTTTCCCTTGACAGCATTGTAAACAGAATGACTGTACTTTAGACAACTACTTTTTTTTTTATCAACCCCCAAATGTAAAATTTCACTTCAGGGACTTCTGAATACAAGTGCAGTCTCAGTGTGGCTTATAAGACACTCCCATGTAAGGAAGAAGGGTTAGGAAATGTGAAACATGAGCGCTGTAACCGGGCGATTGGTCCTATAGTACTTGTGTTCCTAGACTCTCCTGCTGTAGGAGTCTCTGGTCTGCTTCGTTATGGTGCCATTGAAAAGGAGAGATCTGGTTGACCACTCCATGCAGTTGCCAGCAATATGTCCTTTGGCTTTGCTGAAGAGGGAAAGGTTATATTTTGAGTGGTTGATTTCTTAACAGCTTCAATCATTGTGATCCGCCCTCACTGGAGAAGAAAGGAAGTGTTAGCTGAGGGCGTACTGTCTGGTATTTCACTGGAGAAGACAGGACGCATTTGCTGAGGGCGTACTGTCCAGTATTTTACTCATGCCCGTCCTGCCTGGGAAATATCAGCTGTGCTGTGTTCCTTTTTAAGCCCTGCAAACTTAGGGGTTCATCGTCCTCAGGATAAAGTCCAGGCCTATGAATGTTTTTCCTTAAACCTTGTAATCCTTGTCTTCAGCCTCCCACCCCATCTTAGTTCTCTTTCCTTCTCCTGTTTCTACCCNTAGCCCTTACAGGCTAATTCTCGCACCTGCACTAGCCCATTTCTAATGATGTGTGTAAGCACCCCAAGGTGCGCTTACCGGGAAGATTCTAGCCTAAGTCCATCGTGGGTTGCAGCTGCCTGGGAGAGCAGAGCATGGCGGCTGTCCAGTCCCTCTGGAAGCAGCGCAGAGTCTGACCTCACTTCCTCTTCCGCCCAGAATTCTATTCTGTTTACTCCTCCCATCTATGTTCTAAGCTATGAGGCCAAGCAGTTGGTTTATTATAACTTAACCAATGAAATCAACAGATTGATATATGACACTCCCACATCAGAAGACAGGACGCATTTGCTGAGGGCGTACTGTCCAGTATTTCACTGGAGAAGACAGGACGCATTTGCTGAGGGTGTACTGTCCAGTATTTCACTCATGCCCGTCCTGCCTGGGAAATATCAGCTGTGCCGTGTTCCTATCTAAGCCCTGCAAACTTAGGGGTTTCATCATCCTCAGGATAAAGTCCAGGCCTATGAATGTTTTTCCTTAAACCTTGTAATCCTTGTCTTCAGCCTCCCACCCCATCTTGAGTTCTCTTTCCTTCTCCTGTTTCTACCCCGTCTTTTCAAAGGTCAGTCCCCCTTTAGATGCTTCCAGTGTGGCCCTTCCTGACCTTGAAGGTATGAGTTAGGTGGCCCTCATGAAGAACTGAAGTACCCCAGGCTTCCTGTCCCTGTCTTCCTACCTCAGCCTGCCTATCAAGGGCCCTGTGTCAGTTCCGTGCCAGCCTCGGCTCCAACAATAGCTCTGGCATTCAATCAGTCACTGATGTGTAAGGGTCACACTCTGTCCAGGAGGCCTTTCCCAAGTGTGACCAAAGAAACAAGCCCAGGTCCTCAGAGTAACATTGGAGCTCCAATTCCCAGCCTGACTCTGTGACCCCAGCACCCTCTCTCTTCCCCCAAACAAGCCTCATGGTCAATGTCAGCTTATCTTATGAAGCATTTATTAACTGTAAGTTAAAAGCTCAGATCCAACAACTCCACCTTCTCGTAGAGGAAGGGCAAGAACAGACATCGATTGAGTTATTGATCCCCCAGCTAGGGGCTTCGTCCCATTTCTGATGACCACATGACTTTCCAGGCATGGATTTCTTTAGGCTTTTGTGAGAGACAATGTAGTTCTCACATTCCTGCTCTCAGGACTCGGCGCTCTGGAGGTTTTTCAGTGGCTACGGCTTGGGAAGCCAACTCTAGGTCGTCTCAGATGACAGAGGGGAGACCTACATTAGGGCCCCATGGACAGACTTCGCAGCAGAGCTGACGTAATCAGCACTGTGTTGTGTGAGGCCTAAAGGAAACACTCCCCTTGAACCTTCTCATTGATTTTTTTCCTCTCACCATATGTTGCATGGAACTGTCTCTCCTGTCCATGGGCTTCTGATCACTGGAGATCTTGGGCTTCAGTTCTGGCCTTTCAGGTCAGGGTGGGGCCGTGATTCTCACAGACTCCCAGGCACTGGTGTCCTTATCTGGGGACTGTGTTGATTACCCAGCCTGTGGACACATCGCTTACCTGTCATGCAGCAGATGTGACCATTTAGGATACTGAAAGTGAGAATTTGCATGTGTGAATACTACTTCATGGGGCAGACTTTAATATCCCTCGACAGAACCCAGGCTTTCCTTCCTTCACCATGGCCAGGACCAGCAGAGAGCAAGCCACACTGGCCATGTCCTCCTGACTCTTCGCATCAGTGACCCAGCCTTGTGCAGTCTGCTTCTCTCAGGTCTGGGGAGCTACACACCCCCTCTACCTGTTAGCAAAGGCAGCGAGCCTGGCTTCAGAGGTGGGACCTGTGATGTCTCGGTGGGGCGGAAGTGGAGACAGAGGGCTTTGGAGGTTTTCTCTACTGATACTTGGCACTGAGGCAGGTCTGTTATCTTAGGAATCTGAAAAGCCACAGTGAGTCATTCACTTGGGAACTGAACTCACAGGCAATACTTCACTTTTTTTATTATTACTTTAAACATGTTAAATCAATTTTACCTTTTGAAAAATGATTTCTATAATTTATTTATTTTATGTGCATTGGGGTTTTGCCTGTGTGTCTGTGAGAGGGTTTCAGATCTGTCGATTGCGTTGGGTGGGTCACTGAGTCTAGGGGTTGTAACCCACCCTGCAATCAGTTACTCCAGGGTCACAGAGGGGTACTATCTGGAAGAGAAATGGGCTAGGAAAGGAGAAGAAGGCCATGCTAAGTTTGTCACAGCCTCCGTTTATTAGGGACGGGTTACAGTTTATATAGGGTAAGGAATGGGGGGGGGGCACAGGGGCCTGGACTCTTGTCACGTGGTCCAGGTCACGTAGGCCAGGAGGTTACGTTTGGTCAGGTCACGTAGGCCAAGAAGTCACGAGTTGCCACACCTAGTTCCCTGGATAGCTGGAATCTGAGGTGGGTTCCGCTGACAGTTAACTCTCCTTCACCAGTTTAATTGGGTGTGGAGCAGGTTCTGTCAATAGAACGATTCTTAACACAATTATGGGTGTGGGGTTCTCTGCAGACTCCCCAAGGCGATGGTTTCTGTAATGATTTTTAGAGGGAAATGGCTCCTCACACAGATCCCCAGGAACTGGAGTTACAGACAGTTATGAACTGCCACGTGGGTGCTGGGAATTGAACCTGGGTCCTTTGGAAGAGCAGCCAGTCCTCTTAACTGTTGAGCCGTCTCTACAGCCCTCAGTCTCGCCTTTTTTAAATGTGTTAAACTGATTTAATATTTTAAGAGTGTTAAAACTGATGTCTGTCATCTTTCTTGCCCAGTTCTTGCTCTGGACAGAGGATTGGACTCTTAGAGAAAGGAGAGAGGAGGAAAAGGGAATTGTGTTTATTCAGCACAAGGATGTATGGAGGGGTCTTATCTTTTAATTCTCTGTTGGTAAATAAAAAATAGCTCTAGATCACTATAATCACATGCTTGTACCACCAAGATCAAGAGGCAAGTTACTGTCCTGTCTTGTCTTTCTTTGGGGTGTCCTTGAGGAAGAAGGCCACCTCCAGGCAAATTACATTCCTTTGGTTTAACAAGGTTAAGTCTGTTAAAACAGTAACTAAAAGCCAGGTGGTGGTGACACAAGTCTTTAATCCCAGCACTCGGGTAGCAGAGGCAGGCGGATCTCTGTGAGTTCGAGACCAGCCTGGTCTACAAAGCTAGTTCCAGGACAGGCTCCAAAGCCACAGAGAAACCCTGTCTCGAAAAAACAAAACAAAAAGAGCTAGTCCCAGGACAGACTTCAAAGCTACAGAAACGCTGTCTGAAAAACCAAACAAAAAATCCAAAACAAACACACAACCCAGTAACTAAAAAGGTATGACCTTGTAAAGGTTGGTATACCTCAGGTGACCTTAGCTTTCATAATATTCATGTATAAGTTTTGTAATTTATTAAATATAGGTTAAATTTGTTTAACTTGTGCATGAACTTTGTGAGTATTTCTATTTTTTATGCCAAAAGTAAATATGGGTACTCGGGTGGTTTCAAAAGTGTGAGTGCCCTATAGATCCCAACTACTGTGCTCTCCTGCAACGATAAGTGTTTCACCATGAACTGTGTGGCTGTGTACCGAGGTGTTCTATAGCTAACTCTGCCTACATCACTGATGTAAACAGGAATTATGGAGTTTGCTTTTTGTCACGTGCTATAGACATGACAGCAACTATAGGATGAGCAAAACAAAACCAAGAAACTCTTCGTTGAGTTACTTTCCTGTCTGTAAACCAGTGTTCAAAAGGAGATGGCAGGAACTCTCGCAGACCACAACATCTCCTAGAAGATGGGATATTCCTGCCAACATTTTGGAAACATGAGCTCCTTTGTCATTTCTGTGCTTTGTATGTGACCCATTAACTTGGTACACAGGCAGGCAGTTCAGGAAGGTACAGAGTGCTTGGGAAACCAGAAAAGTGACTGACTCACGCAGGGTGGTTCATTACAGGCGCTGTTCCAGGCTGGGGAGCTGAAGTGGGGGACAGATGAAGAAAAGTTTATCACCATCTTTGGGACACGCAGTGTGTCTCATTTGAGAAGAGGTAAGTAAAAACCAAAAACAAGAGACCAGTGCTTTGGGAAATCTGGAAAGAACATGGGCAAATCTGGACAGATACCTGCCCCTGAAAAATCAGTTTTCACAGTTTGATCAAGAGAAATCACAGAGTTCTTGACACTGCTACTGTTGCTTTTACAAAGCTGGGTGTCCTCAGCAGTCCCTTCACCCTCAGAGATCCAGTCTTTAGGCTGGAGTCTTGTCAGGCGCCAAGGAGAGTCACATTCTAAGAACTTGCTGCACATTGGTCCCTAAGACTCATAGGCATCCGTTCAGTGCAGCTGTCGGTGCCGGTTGAGAATTAGTTTGGTGGCAAGTGACAAAAAGCCCTCATCATGGCTTTAACAGTTGGGCTTTATTTCTGTGGGGGTGACGTGGTGATTTGGTAGGACCTGCCTGTATCCTCTGTTTTCCTGCCACACTGTCCTTAGCGTGTCCCTTCTTAGGCTCATTACCTCATCATTACAAGGTGGCTGCTGTGGCTCCAAACCCCGTTTTCACAACAGGAAGAGGAGAAAAGGTTAAGTCAGTTCTACTTGTTGACCACCTTTTAGAAGGAAGGAGACTCTCTCCCAGCAGATTTGCCTGTTGCCTCACTGATTAAAACCAGCAAGAGGCCAGGAAATCAGCATCTGTGAAGCGATGTTTAGAAGCCAAGCGTGGTGCCTTATGCCTAAGTATAACCTCCATGCTTAAGCCTGCCCAGCTCCTCAGGCAAGCCACTGTCACATCTGGGCCTTATTTGGACATGCATCCTGGCTAACAGGCTCTGTCTGTTAACTCGAGACAAAAACTAAAAGGGTGCAACTCTGTGACATTGTAAAGATTGGCCACATCTCAAGTGAGCCTTTGGAGAGCAGAGACAGGAGGGTCAAAGTTGAGGCCAGCCTGTGTGACATTGCAAATTCTTCTCACGACAAACAAACGTAAGCTCAATTTTGCAAATTTATAACTAATGGCATGCATTACAACACAAGTAAACTGTTGCTTAGGGCTTGGCACCAGGTGGCTCTGACATCATGGAAGGGAGGGGTTTCTTCGTCAGTTGTGAAGGCATGTTCTTTTTTTATTTTTCTAGTGTTTGACAAGTACATGACAATCTCAGGATTTCAGATTGAGGAAACCATTGATCGAGAGACTTCAGGGAACTTGGAGCAGTTGCTCCTGGCTGTGGGTAGGTGAATTCACAATGCGTGTAATATTTCCTGTGAGATGATTTGATTCCATCCAGTTGAGACTAAATCTAAAGATAATCATGTTTCTTCATGGAAAATAAGGGAATGACATGGTGTCGGATGAACTGAACTCCTGAGTTTCCCTTTGGGAAGTCTAGGCTGAGGTTGTGGATACAGGTTATCTGGTTATTTGCCCAGTTGTTTGTAGGTACTAAGGACATTAGTAGGACTCATTTTAGAGCCACATTAAAAACAGTTCAGCCAGGTGTGGTGGCTCAGCATTCTGGGGCAGAGGCAGGAGGATCTCTGTGAGTTCAAGGCCAGCCTGTCTACAGAGTGAGTTCTGGGACAGCCAGGACTGCGACACAGAGAAACCCTGTCTCAGAAAAAACAATAGATAGAAAACAGTACTGTGGGCCTTTGATGCTGGAGATGTTATCACAGAGCTGCGAGTATGGCTTGCCTGTGATTCCTGTGCGCTTTCAGACTACTTTGAATACCGTCCTCACAGCTTTGCATGCACTGAGAAATTATCATCTGGCTAGGAAAAACACAAATGTGTACCTTCGACGTGATGAGGTGGTGGTTGTTTTCAGGTTAAATCACTTGAATCTTTCATTAAGTGCTCAGAATTACTGGGGGAGTGAGTCTGTAGTTGACTGTGGGTTTTTATCCATTCCCCAAATCTTGAGGGTTCAAGGTCCTGGTTTCACATGGTCTGAAGGTGGCCGGTTTGTCATTTGTCTGCCTGTCCTGAGCATTCGACATGGAGCTCATTCTGGCTTTTTGTTTTGTGGAAATTAAGCAAAAGTTATGCAAATAGTCCACTCTAAAAAGTCTCCTTTTACATGAACACACCGCCAGTGAGCTGGACACTTGGCTCTTTGATGATGGAGACACACATGGAAGTCACAGTTATTGTGAGCACTTGACAACCCCAAGTTATTTAACCCCCAAACAACCCCATCCCATCTCCTAACACATCAGAGATAGAGATTTTTCCCCCTAGCCAGATGGCAATTTCTCTGTCTGCCTAAAAAAGCTATTTTCCTTAAACTTTGGAAAGGAAGAATTCAGAAACATCACAGCTGAAGGATTGTTGTTGTTTTTTATCCCATAAAGTTTCTATATGCCATGTGTCTTTTGCTGAGTGGACTGTGGTCTGCACAGCCTTAACTGTATCCGTTGTGTGTGTTGGGAGGGAGGAGGATGCTTCCCTGACTGTCTGGCCCGGCATCTGAACTGCAGTGGATACATGCAGGCTGCTTACATGAATTGTGAGTTTTAGCTTGGAGGATTAGGAGGGGACACAAGTGCTTCCAGAGGTTATAGTAGTCTTGTGCCATTTGATTGAACATCTGGAACAGAAACTTCCAATTACTTACATAACACATCAGTGACAAAGGCTGTGGCATGTTAACTACCCAACGAAGACCGCAGAGAACAAAGGGGCCCAGAAAAGACTTGAGCCTCTGGTCCAGTGCCTTTCTGTGCCCACATAGACCTCTGTGGAGAACCAAACCAGTGCCTAAAGTGTTTGGTGAGGGAACCCTAGCAGCGTGCCGATGAGCCCCTCTGCAGCACATTTCACTTCACACTTAGAAACAGGACTGAGGGCACATGAGGCAGTGTTCGCACTGCGATTACGTCAATCTTCTCATGTCAGAATAGCATCTGACAGCCATATTATGTGTTGTCCTAGTGAAATCTATTCGGAGCATACCAGCCTACCTTGCAGAGACCCTCTACTATGCGATGAAGGTGAGTGGACACCGTGAACCGTCTGTCTAACGAATGTGCCCTTCTCTGTCTGATTACGCTTTAGACAACAACCTGGGAATTCACGTCTTCAAACGGGTTGCCTCTCCCTACTAAACCGCTAAACTGAAGTGACTCAGACCAGGGGCGTTTGATGCTATATGTGAAGACTCAATGCCTGTGTTCTTTCTCCTCTAAAGGGTGCTGGGACGGATGATCACACCCTCATCAGAGTCGTGGTGTCGAGGAGCGAGATTGATCTGTTTAACATCAGGAAGGAGTTTAGGAAGAACTTCGCCACTTCTCTGTATTCTATGATCAAGGTAGAGCTTCATCTCACATTAGAAACCCAGAGACAAACCGTAGGCGGCACGCAGGAAACGGGTGAAAGAACCCTCCAGTTCCTATGCTTATAGGGTTAGAGCTAGGGGTTCCGAGGAGGACAAAGAGAGAGTTGGATGTCAGGCCTGACCATGGTCCAACAGAGCCAAGGCTTTGCCCATGGCTAGAACATGTCCTTCTGTGTTCATCGGCATCGGCTGTCTCTGTCAACACTTCTGTCTCCTCGCTTTTTCTCTGGTGTCAGGGCATATCTGCAGCAAGGGACCAAGGCAACACAGCCATCACTGTAAAAGGGAAGCAAGTCTGACCTTGGAGTTTGGCCTCGGGTCTTTTGACAGGCTTTCCTGTGGGGGCATTAAAGTTCCTGTGGCCTGTGTGTAGAGCAGGGTCTCAGTTTAGCAAAGCTTTGTCCTTAATGTATGTGGTGTGTGTGTGCGCGCGTGCTTGGACTGAAGGGCTCTAGAGAGTCGGCACACTTAAGACATTAGTACTTCACACATACTTGGGGCTGAGGCCAGCTTGAGGAAAGCATGTTGTGTGCTTGTGTCTGAGGCAAAGCCCTAGCACCCAGGTGGGCCTGTACCTTCTTCGCCTTTGTTAGCCTGAGAGAAACTGGGAGTCTTGCCCTCTCTTTTTAGATGGAAGAACATACTTCACTGCAATTAAGAGAACAGCTCTTGAGGGGTCAAATTAGAAAGTTAAACCAAGCAACGTTGCTAGGAAATTCCCTGCGTAGCATTCCTGTTGCGGGAGTCATGAGGAAAAGTTCCCAGTTGGGAGAAAAGTCATAGCAACACAATCCGTGCCCAGATAGCTCCTGATCTCTTATTTCCTGTGGCGTTTGTGAGTCATCGAGCTAACTGTGTCTGGTTCCAGGGCGACACATCTGGAGATTATAAGAAAACTCTGTTGCTGCTCTGTGGAGGAGAGGACGACTGAGGGAGCCAGAAGCGCATGGTGCCGCCGCCTCCATCAGCTTCCCTCAGCAACTGCAGCCAAGCTCACCTTCCTGTGCCTGACAAGCTGCCTTACTTGTGCTAGTATGCTAATCACCAGATGTGTCACAGATGACAATGGTGGCCCGACCTCCTGATCTCCCTGTTGGCATTAGTGCTGGCCTTAACTCCTGTGTGTGTCTAAGTCTGAGTTATTAATATTGTCTGTAGTGAGGGCAGATTGCTTTTTATAATCTTTTTAAAGCTTCTTTTATATTAAGTTAATAACTGTATTACCTGGATCGGAAACTTAGCCGTGAAATTGTGAACTCCTAGAAATGCTGCCAATCAGGCTCATGCTTTATCAGACCTACAACATTATGAAGGTCATATCAGGAAAATTAATGACAAATAAACATTCCCTTCGCTCGGAATCCTGTGTGCATCGACAAAGCTTATCTAACATTGATGCTCTTTTGAAACCTGGCATTTGACAGTGGCATTGGTAAAAGCTAAAATTATAGTACATCTTGGAGTACTGAAAATGCAGCCCTGCCTGCAAACCAAATTTCCTAATGGAGCAAGATGAAGGATGGTGAAGGCATGGGGGTAGGGGTTGGGGAGGTGTCTGGGCTGGGCGTGGGGTGGAGTGGAGTGGCACGCAGGTACAAATTTGTGCGCATGTGTGTGGAAGGGTGTACATGCGTGCATGTGTGTGTGTGCCTGTGTGTGTGCATGCATACGCGTGTGGGGTGTAGGTGGGTGTGCATGCGTATATGCCTGAGTGTGTGTGTGCGTGTGTGTGTGTACGTGTGTGTGTGTGTGTGTGAGTTTCCTGGTGATGAATAGGGAAGAGGTTTATTTCACAATCCTGTGTGCTTTTTACTAGCAGAAAAATTGTGAAGTAATAGCACAGACAGTATTTTTAGAAGCATTTCTTCAGCTTTCCTAACACTTGCCTTTCAGTTTCCTGCATCCAGGGTGCTTTTCCGTGGAGTTATTTGCTATTTGTACTTACGCTATGTATTCAGGGTTACCTTTCTTCTAAGTAAAATATTAATCTTCCTTCAAAAAATTTAAATAACAGCAATCTTTTTACACCCCTTAGTGCTCTACAAAATCACTAAGGAAACTGTAAAAATTGTGTGTGAGATCATGGA